CTTCTATTTCATCCAACGGTTTCCTGTTTCTTTGGCTATGATTGCCCTTTCTTATTAACTCACTCCACTTTCACTCCTAGACCAAAGCCATACTATTTTTCTCAGTTTTCTTTATCTTAGAGAAACAAAATAATTTCAAACTGGTTCTCAGAAACATCTTTCCACGTCTCTGAACCTGCCCTATAGAAACTGCCTAAACTAGCTTCTGCAGTAATTTGGTATAATTAATGAAAAAGGTACTAGACACTAGTTTTATTTTAAAAGGGGGGGGGCCGATGGAAGATTATATAATATAGTTATTAAGAGCTCAGCCTCTGGAGTTGGGAAGTTCCGAGAAAAAATTTCAATTCCATCGCCACCACTTCAACCTTGGAAAAGTCACTCAACCTTCTTAAACATCACTATCATTATCTGTAATCTTAAAAACTAATCTTAAAACATTCTGTATATAAAAGAGGTATCTATACAGTTTTCTATGCAGTATCTGCAATATGGAAGCTCTATGATTTACAGAATAGCCTATATAATTTAAAAACAGAAGCCTAAAGATGAACTTAGAATTTTTCAAGTTCAGATTATCTTGTACTTTTGATAAGAGAATATTAAGAGATCTAGTTAAATGAAGAATAGTAGCTATAGATGCTCCTGACTGACGACAGGGTTATGTCCTGACAAACCCATCATAAGGTGAAAATTCTGTAAGTCAAAAAATGCATTTAATACACCTAGCCTGCCTTACTTTATAGTTTATCTTAGCCTATCTTAAGCATGCTCACAATATTTACACTAGCCTACAGTTGGGCAAAATCATCTGGCAACACAGTACACTGTAGAGTATTGATTCTTTACTCTCATGATTGTGTGGCTATTAGGAGCTATAGCTCACTGCCACTGCCCAGCATCACAAGAGAGTATCACAGGCTGGGCACGGTGGCTCACGCCTGTAATCCTAGCACTCTGGGAGGCCAAGGCGGGCGGATTGTTTGAGCTCAGGAGTTCGAAACCAGCCTGAGCAAG